TGGGGACAATACTTTCTTAAATTGCTCTTCTAGATCCACTAAAAGATATCTGATTGCATGTTCACCAAGGCTCTTGCAGCACTGGCTAATTACTTCTTCCAAAGCCAAGAACTTATGTTGGCTTTTTGGTTGGTTATTTTTATTTTTTTTTCATATTGCTTTTCTAGAAGTCCTAATTAATTTTACATTGATTTCATCCTTCACACAGCCATATAACTAAATTACTTCCTCACACAGAGTTTGCCAAGTGGTCTTCCAAAGCAAGTAAAGGCCATTGAAATTATAGATAAGGCCACTTAGCAAACAGTACGTTTCAGCATGCATTACAAATATGGTCCAAAAGATCAGTTCTTGTATAGAACACAACACAGTCACTATTAATAAACTGCGTCGTCATAGAACATGTTTTGAAGAAAATGGCAAATGAGCAAAACAAAGTGTTGACAAAAGACAATATTCTTCCCCCTGTTTACATGAGAAAAGGAATTTGAAGAAAGAACTTTTGCCTCTTCCTCTATAAAATAACACCAGGAAACCTATGTGGCAGGATCTTTGTGATCTTTTTAATTTTATTTCCTCCAAAAATATTTCCTCCCATAGAGGGTATATGTGAGAAAAGTCAAGTTGGAATTACTCCCTCAAACATCCTCTGAGCAGGAGTGATGCTTGCTTTTAGGGGTTGGGTTTCTTGTTGTTTGAGTTTTTAAGTTCAATGCATAAATGAGACAACCGAGCACATTTAATGAGCAGTCTGCGTGCCTCCAAGAAACACAGATCTGCATGGCCTTCCCAGTGGCTTCCAGGCTGAAAAGTCACTGTTTTCTGACTATTGTCTTAAAAATATTAATAAAGTGAAAATTTTCTGCCAGTCTGAACCTAAACCAAAGAGTACAATAGTTTAGGTCTAGAAGAAAATGCATATTCTTAGCATTTGGGTTTCCTGATGGAAATAATGCAAACTCTTCCAGGGCAACATTCCACAGACATCCATAGTCTGTTGTAAACAGGGTGCCCCTCCAGCCACACTTTCACACAAATATTGATCTATTTACTCTGTCATGAAATAGCAGGAAAGTGCTACCTCTCCGTGTGAGAAGGATATGGTTAAGCAGCAATTTCCCACTGTCAGGAGGCTACAGCTCAACATACTGCAGAGACAGAAAAAACAATCTGAACTCTCTGCCATTTTGCACATGTGGATTTCTCTATCCTTCCCTTAAGAAGTACACAGAGGAAAGGATTTTGCTGGTTTTACCTTTTTCCTTTTATTAATCTTATTAAAGTTTTTATCATCAGACAATGGCATCTTCCATGATTTATCAGAATTTCACAGAAGAAGCTCTGAAAAGGCAGAAGTACTTACTGTTACTTTATCCTTTATTCTGAGATAAGTTTTTGTTGTCATGTACGTGAAGAAAGATGATATTCATAGGTCTCTAGCTGAATATTCTGTCTCCATATATATATGTGACTGTGTTTGAATACTGGTTGCACTGATTTACTTGACACAGCTGCCCGTCAGTAATTCTGGCAGTTTATAACTATCAATCACATACCAGCATCTCTCACCGAAGCACTTCTCTGCATAAAAAAAGGTAAATGTTCATTATACCAGCAATCTGAAAAGCATTCCCTCTGTGCCAAGGGATATCTATCTGTCAAACTGACTGATCACTCTCCTCCATACCTCTCAAAGTACACAATATATACTAAGTAAAAATAAATCAGCCAAGAGAACCTGGAAGCCTGAGAAATAGGTTTTCAAGCTAAAGCAGAAGGAAATTTTGAAACCAGCTCACCAGTCAGGTGAACGCTTTAAATACTGGGATGGGATTTCCTTTGACCAGTTTGGAGATGTTTAATTAAAAGACCAGATTCACAGTAGAGAAACTTAAGTGGAATTAAATGCCTTACTCTAAGGGATACAGCTGAGATTTTGTTGTTTTTACCTAGAAGAGTTCAGCTCTCTGGTCTCCAGTGACATTACTCTGAGCTGACTTAGCTCTTCCCCTCCACTCATTAAGGAAGAGATGTTCCTAATCATGGAGCAAAAATTCCCGTGAGCTGGCAGGATGCCCTAAAGTTAGGTGTTGCACTAGCCAGCACTGTTTTCTTTGCAGATTTAGCCCTGTACTTCTTCCAAGCAAAGCTGATCCTTTCAAATATTAACTGGTTAAATAGTGGTTAGTTAAGAATTAGCTTTCACTTGCCATTCTTTAGAGTAATTTTAAGATATGAAGATGCAGGTACAAATAACAACCATCTCTATTCTATTCTTAAAGGTAATTTTAAGATATGAAGATGCAGGTAAAAATCACAATTCCACTGCAATCACAGATAAGAATAGCCAAGATGATTATCATTGCCAAAATGATTATCATTTTCCACAATCCAACAGAATGCTAACATTTTCTGCATAACTATTATCCATGCAAAGAATACTGTTGATATTCTGATATTCTTGTGCACAATGTATCATTTTAACTTAAAAATGACAATCAAATCTTGAAAATGGCTTCAGTAAAGTCTAGTTTATGAATGTGTTTTAGATATGCAAATGTTTTATGCACGACTTCATAGTTTCTAGCTGAAAGCAGCACTGTTATCGTGCAAGGATTAAACTCACAAAATTAGTGCCACGTTTCTATATCTCCAACTAATTTGAAAAATTCTTTGCATTAGCATCATATGCGTAGCTCTATTTGCCTTTCACAGGATGTATTTGAAAGTTATTTTGACTTGTGAATAGCTTGAATTTTCCTGGAAATTGATTTTATTTTAAAATTCCTAGACTCTGATAACATAATCAGGTGTATCCACTATAATCTTAGCCACCTCAGAGAAAAAAAAAGTTGTTTACCAACATTCTTTGGAGCTTATCCTCCTTTTAATAAAGGAGCTTTTTAGAGTGTAAAGTCATTTGGTAAGGTCCCTTGAAACAAACAATAACAGCCTCAGCTCCAAAATGTTACCTTTTCCACATCTGTAACGTCTCTTCACGTAAGAAAAAATATCACAAGGTGATGCTCTGCTTATGTCTGGTAAGTACTCTGACATCAGAATTAGCCTTTGGAAACCAAATACCTTCTTGAAATATTTTTTTGCAATTTTTGTCTGATCAGTATTTACATGCCTTCAAAAAAAAAAGAGGAAATGTTTTGTTGTGTCTGATGATAGCTGAGGTCTCAAATTCTTAGTTTCCAAAATAATTTCCTTTCTGTATATGACTTCATTTCATTCTATTCCAGAGCAAAGTTTTTAGCAATGAAAGGACATGTTAACTTCTGGACATCTTACATGACTGTATATGGCATAATCTTATCAATGAAACAGAATTATAAATAATTGGACAGGCACTGAAACAATGACTGTGTAAAGCAAAACTTGAGTCTCGCAGATTTTTCTAATTCTTCAACAATAACCCAGTTAAAAAACAACCCAGCATGAAAATGGTTTGTCAGATTATGATAAAAAAAAAAAAAAAAGAAATCAAGCCACACATTTTTTTCCCCAAATCAAAGACAAAAAATATAATATATAGTCTAGTAGTTTGAATAGATGACTATGAAAATTTTACCTTCATCTTATTCTTGCTCTTCTCATATCATGTTATGAGAGTTTGGGGCAGTCACTTAGTGCAAAACTTATGCTCCTAAATAAGTGTTTTTATTCTTATAAATGCTGAGTATCCAAAGGTTCTTCAAGTACTTCTGAGCATCAGGTTTCTCTGTCAGCTCCTCTGTGTCTCTCTTTTCCAGGAATGTAGCTTTTCAGGCAGTCCTGTTTTCTTATCTTTAATCTCCTGTGCTTTAGTTGTAAAAACACAAGCAACATGCAAGCCATTTCCACCAAACGCTTTGGGAATCATAGGCAAAGAAAATATGAGTGGAAAAGATTAATATTGCCAACTGGTGATCTTTTTTTTTACCCTTCCTGGCAAGAAACCGTCTTTCTCAAACTGAGCAACTGGATGCTTACACAACAGTTTTTGCTAGCAAACTCCTGAAAACACTGCCATTTGCCAAATGTGTCAAAACTCATTTTATGTTCATCTGATTTCCACCTTTTTTTTTTTTCTTCTGGATGGCCTAACAGAAAAATAACCCCCAAAACCACCACCAAAGAAAAACCACCGCCTAGCCTCTTCACTTCTTGTTTGATTTCAGTGCAGCCAAGAGGCAGAGATTTCAGGGTTTTTCCCAACATTTGGAAATAAAGTATTTAAGAAAGCTGGTATTAAGGGTGGGATTTCAGAAGCAGCCAGTACTGATCTAGCTTTGCTTCTGTGGGAGTCAACAGTAAAAATGTTATTGACCAACAGTGTAAGAATCGTGGTCCTTGGAAATCTGAAAATCTAATTTTTACCCACATGCATGATTTAATTTCTTTTAGCCATGAAGGACCTGACTTGGTAGCCTTAGCCAGCCCAACACACTTCTGTTATACCAACAGCAGGCCCCCAGATGAGTTTAATAGAATAGTTTTCTGGCCACAACGTGCAGATGTTTAAATAGCATCCTTAGACTCATCTTTAGCACAATTAAGTTCTTGTGTTTCTGGGTACTGTTCATAAATACAGTGGAATGATTAGATGATCAATTAAAATTACGAAAAATTGGAAGCAAGGTAAAAATTCTTCTGTAAAACCCTTTTGCTTTTGTTTCAATAAAGAATGTTTGCATAACCTAATTGTCAGACACCATCATATAAACACAAAGTAATATTAAATATTATCATCTCGTGTTCACATTTAGAGTTGTTTCTAAACGTTTAGAGTCTCCAATAGCTACAAGTGCCAAATCTTGTATCTAAAGAGAGCTCTGAAGGCTAACAAATGTGCATTGATATTAGTAGTACAAGACACTTCCCACAAACTGATGCAAGAACAGTGTGGTGTTTGCTAAGGTCTGCTTACCTGACTCAGAAATGGGTAGCCTAGCTCTTCAGCTTCCACCTAATTTCCTTGTACCACTGACCCATGTCTTTTCATGCTGCTTTCAGAGCAACAGTGAGGTTCTGAAGGGATTTACTCTGTATATGTGCATCTGAAGGTATGTTTGCAAAAGTCTCCTCAGTAGCTCAGATCAGCAGACCCACAAAATTTCCAAAGTCACCAAAGTCCCCGAGACATTATGTGTGAGGCAGGCATCATTTCTGCAAGAGGAAGAAGAGGACAGGCACCGTAAGAAGGTAGTCAGTATGTCTTGCCTGGTACACGGGTGCACTGCCCACAAGCATGGTCTTTGAGAAAGGTGGCACAGCTTTAGATTGTCAAAGCCTTCTGTTAAATAATAAAGCTGGCATAAGTATCTACCTGCTTTCTCACCCATGCTATATACATGAGCTAGAAGCAAAGAAGATGCAGCCTTTCATTTTTGAGCAACTGCAATGGATACTACTGCAGTCAGAAGGTTAAAAGTAAAACTGACTAGCTGGAATAACACAAGAGTGTCACAACGATAAAATATTGATTCACTCCCACTGTCTCCTTATCCTTCCTTCCTTTCCAGGCCTTGCCTACAAATGACAAACTGATGGAATTTCAGAGAAAAGAGTAACACTTACCTTTTCAGAGCAGACAGAGGAAAATTTTTAAAGTGTGGTAGATAAAATGCTTTATGAATGTTGGCCTTACTGAACAATCTAGAAATTCAGCGAGGAATGTTATCTACAGCTATTGCAAAAATATATCTAGAAAAGGTTTACATTTTGCAGACATGTCTATTGTGCAAAACAGAGAATTTATGTTAATATTAGAATGCAATATTAAGACAGGCATATATTAAAATTCAGGGACAGCATGAAAGTTGAAAACTTTCCAGTCTAAAGTTAGGAAACCGTTCTTGTAAATATCTACCCCAGATGCAAGTTTGTCTCAAGAATACACATAATAATACAAGATGTTAGTAAACTTTCTAAACAAAATTCTCAATATGTTTTGGAAAGTGACATCCTTGGAGGAAAGAAAGAATTTAATGAAAAACATATACAACATTGTTATTCATAAACTTCTCCAAGCAAAACAAGTCATAAATTGGTTTTATCTATTAACTCTTGCAATATGTATGGCAAACACATACCAAAACCAAGTAAAAATATTGCAAAACAATATATACAATAGTGCTATAGATAAATGAAGTTTCTTGATTAATACAAAATTAATTGGAAAATTGAGTGTGGGTCATACTAAAAGCCTTCACAAACCCAGAGCAACTTCAGTGAGTAACATTGTTCCTAAAATTGGGGCAAGTGAACTACTTTGCTTTGAACTGGAAATAAGCAAATAAAGAAAAGTTTTGATTTCTTAAACCAGTACTACCATTTTGAAATAGAATTTGATTTTTTAAAGAGTATATCTCTTGGAAACAAAATGGAAATTCAGTTGTCTTGAACACACATACAAATCATTTCACTTTACCCCAAAAGAAACAAGCATTGTGTTTCAAACACACCGAAACATTTCAATTAGTTTTAAAGTGTTATTTTTTAAATTCACTCCTCAATTCAACTCCCCGGGGTCCTTACACCACATCTACACACAGTCCCATGCCTCCAGAACAAGGATGTATTTCCTTCTGGGTTAACCATGCCTGATCTTTCTGATGACCATTACATCACATGAGAACAGCCTGATTCATGCAGCTCTACCTCTGTTATCCTCTATAGGAGTACTCGTAAAGATCCATCGTATTAGGCTAATACTGCAAGCATGCAATTACTCAATACCTTCTACAGATGTGTTTTCCCCCTTTGCTTACCCTTTCTGGTTCTTGAACACACACAGATATAATCTTGACTCTTACTGAACTTTGGAAAAAATTATTAATCCCATATAAAAATCTCTTTAGTGCAAATCATCCTAGTGAATCTCCATGGATGTAATACAGATTTTTTTTTTTTTTAATGATTTAATCCATTATCATAAGTTGGAAAAAATTAGATTTCCATGCCAGATGGGTCACTGCTTTGAACATCTGCATGACAATAAATAGAAAATTAAACCACTAACAACTTGTATCTAGATAGCATATAAAGGCAACCTAGTGAGACATTTACCTGCAATAAATAGCACACTTTTCCATTTTATTTCCCATCTGACAGTCACTTAAAAATTTTCAGCTGACAGTGTTCCTGTAGTTGGTAAGCCCTCCATAATATAAAAAAAAATGTAATTCTGGGAAAAATGTGTCATAATAATAATATTTAATAATTTATTTGTGTTCTTGTTTTAAATGCAAACAGGTCTTTGTGTTAAGCATGGGCCACTTGACAAATTTCCATAATACATGCATTAGATAATATCACAATGCAATTTGGAAAACCACCAAGTAGTGATGCAGTTAACCTCAAAATTAAGAAGTCAGTTAATTCAGAAAAGGTAACTGCAGACTAAATCTTCTAGATATGGACGTTAGGATCTCTGTAGCGCAACTTTAGAATCAAGTTGCCTGTATTTGAGAATCCACGCACCTATCTTTCAAAGATAGAAGTCTTTTAGTACTTCCAGTCTGTTAATGTATGCAAATATAGGAATTAATTAAAACATGCAAAGAGATTCTTTTAATTTATTAATTAGATAATGGGAAGGTGTCCATATTTAGCTGTGATTTAATTTCAGTGGTTTCTTAAGCAACTACATCTCATTAGCAAATTTATAGTTGTTGTCAGGTGAAGTAAATTCAGACAGTATAGAAAGTGGTTTGATTTTTCTTAAAAAGAATGGAATGCTATTATTTCCATCAGCAAAAATGATATCAATCTGTGAAAATTACTCTTTTTACGTCAAACCCCTTTATTTAGTATTTAGTGCTGGAAGATGATCATGCTTCAGCATGAGCACAGCAAAAATCTGATTTATTAAAACCAGTTCATACCCAAATAATTCTCAAATAATGTCTGCATGTTAACTCTGAACTGGTAATAGGATATAGATTGTTCACTATTAAAAACAGTCTTCAAATCCAACACTGTGTAATATGTTACGTAATGTAATTATGCTGTAGAGAACAGATTGATAAGAAAATAAGGAAGGATGAGATTTTTGACCAAGACAGAATATGGAATATTACTTCATTTGTGAAGCATAGGACATGGTGGAGGGGGGAAGAAGGGAGGGAGAAAAAAGAAAAATCAAAAATCCTTTAAAGCAAGATTTGTAGAGCAAATACGAGAAAAAGGAAAATGTTTCGGAAAATCCTCAGCTACAGAATATCTCCACGGGACTTACATGAATGTACTACTTTTTTATATTCTTATATATGACAAATTAGTTCTTACTAGACACAGTAAGGAACAGCATTCAGATACTCATAACAGAGATAAAAGAGTACAAAAAAGAGCTCAAGTATACAAGACCCACTGAGGGAGAGTTAGATATACAAGAACTGAACCAGCTGCCATACAAAGAGGTATTATTCATAGCACTGCAAGCTTCAGCATCAAGTTTGGACCAAAAGATAAGAAAAACAGTTTTACATTACTCAGTGGGGACTCACAAGTCCTTTCTTCTATTTTAAGTCCAGGGCAAATTCCTAAACCTCTGGAGTGTGGGGGACAATTCTGCACAGCTGAACACGTAAGGAAAGCCCAGGGCCATCTCCTGGCATGACAGAAGCAAGGGATGCCAAGTAAATCCGAGAACAGTGTACACAAGAAGTTTGTTACTGAGGGTTATCTCATCTTACAAATAGCTTGAGGAAAAAAAATGTGGTGTTTTTTTTAAGGAACAAATAAGAATGTGGTTGGGAAGAGGACTGGGAGCTTTACACTGTTCTTGGCTTGCGGGTCACAAAGGGTCTGTCACACAAAGCAAGCACAGAACCTGCACTTGATTGCAGATTGGGTAAGTGGCAAAATGGGTTTTAGTCTATAAGAAGTACTAAGATGACAAAATTGGTAGTGGTGATATTTCTGAGAAATGGGCAGGCTCTTATCATCTTTGCTAAGACAGAGCTGTTTCCCTAAACGTCTCACTACAGGCTCCTTCAGAGCAAACCTCCTTTAACAGTTTCCAGTCACTGGTGTCTCTGAACAGGGAAGCCTGTGCATACAGATCTGACTATTCTCATTTGCATGTAACCAGCCAAATGTTTGAATAACTGTTTTGCTCAGACATGTTACAGATCTGCATGTATTTTTAGAAGTGCTCAATATGCAATCCTAATTCTGACAATTCAGCCTTTTCACACCAAGTAGTGTCACATGTCTCTTTTCAACCCTCTGTCCATGTCTCATCAGCCCCACATGAAAACAAAGGCAACATTTGCAGTTGAGCTCACTAAAACCAATTTGGTTCATTGCTACACTTCAAGCATATGTAAAAATACCATGCTGTTCCCTTGTGACAGCGACATAGCATGTCCTAAATGTTAGGGTATTTACTTTTCTAGAGCATCATGTCTTTAGTAGACAGGCAATGTATGATGCAGTTCTGGTCTCATCTCATGTGTAACATCTGGGAGAACTGCCACTTGTCAAGCCAATCAGTACTCTGCTGACAGACAAAGTGAGCATTATACTGAAATGCCATTCCTCAGCTGTTTGCAGAATTAATTTCCCTGTAGAATTTTCTAATTAGTTGGCTCCTTCCAGCTCGTTCCCCACAGAGGAAGCAGAAAGGAAGCAAAAGGGTAGCACCTGCTCTGGCTTGGAAAAAAAATAATTAAATTTAAGGATGACATATACAGTAAGCATTTAGGCACTAGAAAGTCTTCTAGCCATGCAGCTGTGAGGATGAAGTAACTCTGAAAGCTTAATGGAGATTCTTCTGTGGGGAAGAATTTCCAGTGGCTCACATTCCAGACAGTTAACCACATTACCAAGGGGAAGAAAAAGGGATTTGTTCAAGCATTCAAAACTGGGGGGGGGGGGGAGGACGCAGAGGAAATAAAAACCCCCAGAAAACCCTGATCTATAGAAAAGACAAACAGATGAATCCAGACCTGAGGATGATTCTGCACACAGCACATTCAATCACCAATGTTATTTTCAATCACTTTGTTTTACTGTAATTTCAAGTTAAAATCCATTATTATGTAGGAATGCTATGTATGATATAATCTTAGAAGTAACAATAACACAACAGAGTTCACTCCTAAGTAAAGTGAGTCATTGGAACAGAAGAAATAACACGGTTATTACTTTGAATTTACATG